GATTAAACATTATTATATATTAAACATTACTTTTTTTATCTGAATTAATATTGTTATTGATTAAACATTATTATTGTATTTCTTTTCTTCTGTTTAATAGCTTTAACGAAATATTAAGCTTTGTTATTGTTTTTTTTTAAGTTGGTTTCTCATTTGCTGAATACTAAACTTAACTTGAATGCTTAATATTGAATACTGAATACAAAACTTTAATCTAAATACATACATATGCCTACACACGAACATGCGCAATATTGGCTTCATTAAATATAGGAAAGTTATCGATAAAAAAATAGAACTGTTAACTTCGTTTGTGGAATTCCAATATGTCTTCGTCTTAGTTGAAAAGTATGTCCATTTTAGCGGCAAGGATTATTTTTTATTGTTTTAGTGTTCTTATTAACGAACGGGTTTATGAGAAGCCATTTTTTAGAAACTTTTTGTAGGGGTTTTCATAGTCTCGTTTTTGCGGCCCCTAAAGCTCGCACACACGAATATAATCACGCTGAGATTAGACTCACTGTTTCTCGGTATTGAGCAGAAGCACCTGTTTGTTGGTCTGGTGGAGTTTTCCCGCCATTTTGAGGTTGGTCGTTTTCTGTTCGTGCAGCCATTGCTTCACCGCCGCCACCACCACCTGGAGGTTGTATTTGGGGTTAGGTTAGTTTGTTATTTGCCGCCCGTTTGGTTGGTGGGCATTGTGTTTGATGGTCGGATATAACGAAAGAGATAGAAGAAAAGGAGGGAGAGAGAGACAGAGATAGAAAGAAAATCCAGCCCCCGCGCCTTACCTGCGCATCATTAGCCAGCAGATCCCTCGCCTGCTGCAACTCCTGCAGCTGGCTCTCCCTCGACCTCAGCGACGCCCTCAGCTGCTCGCCCTCCTGCTGCGCCTCCGAGGCCTGGCGGTGCAGGTCGGCGTTGCACTCCTTCAGCTGGTCGTTCTCGCAGGCCAGGCGGGACACCTCCTCCTCGATAGCCTGCAGCTGCGACCCCCACACGCGCTCCACCACCCGCGCCGCCTCCACCACCGCCTCGCTCTCGCCCAGGGAGGCCTCCAGGGACACCATCTGGGGCGAGGAAGGAGGAGGATGGGGGTGAGGGGGAAGGGGTGTTCATGGTGGTATTAATTGTAAGGAGGATAACGATGATCACAATGATAATGATAATAAACATCATCATAATGATAACATCAACAATAATAATTATGACATTACTAACGTTAACAATATAAACAAGAACAATGACAATAGTAATAATAACAATAACTGCGAAAATAAAGACAGTCCTTACAACAAAAAAGGTAAAATAAAAAAATCAATCAAACAATAAATAAATTTTAAAACCACGATTATTCCTAACCTTCCTGAGCGCCTCGTCGCGGGCCCGAGTGAGGCGGCAGACGTCCTGCTGCAGGTCCTTCATCTTGGCCTCCTCCCTTTCGGCCCTTTCTCCAGCCTGCGTGAGGGAAGGGGAAGGGGGGGTTAGAGAGCGAGGGGAGAATATTGGGGAAGATAGAGAGGGGGAAATATTAAGGGTGAAAGGGAGGGTAAAGGAAATGTTAAAGAGTGAGGGGAAAAGATTGGGGCGAAAGAGAAGGGGAAAGTTAGAGAGTGAGGGGAGAATATTAAGGGTGAAAGGGAGGAGGAAGGGGAAGGTTGGAGAGTGAGAGCAAAAATTAAAGGGGGGAAGTCAGAGAGTGAGGGGAAACTGTTGGAGGAAAGGGAAGGGGAAGGGGGAAAGAGGAAAGTCAGAGTGTGAGGGGAAAATAGTGGGGGCAAATTAGAGAGGGGAAAGTAGTAGGGGCAAGTTAGAGAGGGGGAAATATTAAGGGTAAAAGAGAGAAGGAAGAGGAAGGTTAGAGACTGAGGAGAAAATATGGTTCGAGGATAAAATGGTTTTGTTGTGTTGTGTTGGAAGTGGTTCCCAACCCTTTTCCTTCCGTGGCCCCGACCAGTAAGTAATAATCTCTATGGCCCTGTTCACTGTCTGTCATCTTTTCAGATTCAGTTATTACTTGTTATGAACAGTGCAATGGTGTCAATAGTTCTGGGACTAGAACACTCTATGGAAAGACTCCAATTTATTGAAATGTGAGGGATAATTATGTGTAGGTACTGTAGGTGAGATTGATTTCCGTTCAGTTCGATTTCTTAATTTTCATATTGCTCCAAGGCCCTCCTGAAAGTACCCCATGGCACCCCAGGTTGGGCACCCCTGTTATAAACTCTCTCTCTCTCTCTCTCTCTCTCTCTCTCTCTCTCTCTCTCTCTCTCTCTCTCTCTCTCTCTCTCTCTCTCTCTCTCTCTCTCTCTCTCTCTCTCTCTCTCTCACTCACTCACTCTCACTCTCACTCTCACTCTCACTCTCACTCTCACTCTCACTCTCACTCTCACTCTCTCTCTCTCCCTCTCTCCCTCTCTCCCTCTCTCCCTCTCTCCCACTCTCCGACTCCGACTCCCACTCTCACTCTCACCCTCCTTCTCCTTCTCCTAATCCTTCTCCCTCTATCCTCTCCTTCTCCTTTTCCTTCTCCTTCTCCTTCACCTTTTCCATCTTCTTTTCCTTTCCTTTTCCGTCTTACTCTAACTCTCCTTCTTCTAGTTCCTCTCCCTCTCCCCCTCCCACTGCTACTCTCTCGCACTCTCACTCTTCCTCCCCCTCCCTCTCCCTCTCCCTCTCCCTCTTCTACTGCCACTCCCTCTCCCTCTCCCCCTCCCCCTCCCCCTCCCCTCCCACTCCCACTCCCTCTCCCTCTCCTTCTCCCTCTTCTCCTCCCACTCCCTCTCCCTCTCTTATCTCCCTCTCTCTTACCTGCTTCAGTTCCTCCACCTTGGCTGCCAGCTCTCCCTTCAACCTCGAAACTTCATCCTCGAGTGCCTCCACCTGCACTCGCGTGGGGGGCGGGGGTGGGGGAGAATTATCATTAATATGTGTATATTCTTCTTGTTTCATGCAGCTTAATATTCATTCATAAATATCCCACTACTACGTGTACATCCTCCGTGATTTAGTTTACTACTTTACTCATTCATGAATAATTCGTTGAAACTAAATACTCGTTACTACTAAGTGTTTAGTCTCGTGTTTTATTGAACTAAGTTCATAAGTATATCATTATTACATGTAAATTTTCCCTTTTTATTAATTCAAGCATTCCCCATCTGTTATGCAACTAAAATATCCATTCATAAATATTTCATTACTTTGTGAATGTGTGGGCGCGCGCGCGCGTGTGTGTGTGTGTGTGTGTGTGCATCCCGCGGGTTTCATTCAACTAACTGACCACGCATCCCATTCATAATTTTTTACGCATCCCATTCATGAATTTCTACGCTTCCCGCCTTCCCCTTGTTCCATCTACGTTTAGTTAATTTCGACGATGCCTTTTCTTGGTACTAATATACTTGATATTAACTGCAGGAGAAAATTATAATCTGAATGATATACTTAATGAAATAAATCTGCCAAGAGTCAAATCGTGGACGAAAAATACTCGTATTTTTTTGTTATTTTCGCAATTACCAAAATCTTACGGAAAAATTAGAATGTCAAAATCGGGCAGCAATATAACAAGGGGAAATTATTTCAACGAAACATATCAATATGTATTTTATAGTTTTGCATCTATCAGTCAATCGGTCTATCTATCTATCTAGATATCGATTGATTTATCTATCTAGATATCTATCTATATATACATACATATATACATACATATATGCGTACACACAAACATACATACACACACAGACACACACACACATACAAATGTATATATGTGTATGTATGTGTATATGTATATGTATATATATATATATATATATATATATATATATATATATATATATATATATATATATATATATTATATTTATATATATATATATATATATATATATATATATATATATATATATATATATATATATATATATATATATATATATGTGTATATATACATATATATATATATATATATATATATATATATATATATATATATATTCATTTATTTATTTATATGGCAACCAGCCAGCAATCATGGTCCAAACCTCCTGAAAATGAAAGCAATATATAATTCTTTCTCTCCCTTATTCCGTGATTTCTGCAACAGCTTCGCCAAAGAGAAAAAGGAAAAACGAAAACTGCTCCAAAGGTTCCTCACCTCCTGTGTTTGAGGGCGTGGGTGGGCGGAGTCTCGGCCCGTCGCGTGGGCGTGGGCGATCTGGGTGGTCAGCGACGCCGCCCGCGCCCGCAGCTCCTCGGCCTCCACCTCGTACTTGTGGGCGTCCGCGTGGGCCTCCTGCAGCTTCTCCTCGAGACCAGATACCTGAGGGTGATGTTTTTCTTTTTTTTCTTTTTTTCTTTTCTTTTTCGTTATTACCTATTTATACATTATTACACCATGCAAATCATCATTCACGTTGCATGTCAGTCCTGGCCATCTTTCAACACTTTTGATAGTCGTTTCATTCCACTGAAGTTTTAAAATAACATTGATATTCAAAATTGACATTTCATCCTCTTACAAAACCTCTCCCTCTGTCTGTCTACCTGTATGTATGTATGCATGTATGTATATATGTATATCTGTTTATCTGTCTGTATGCATGTATGTATGTATGTGTATCTGTCAGTTTATCTGTCTATCTCCCTCCCCCTCATTCTCACCCTAACACTCTCTCTCTCTCCATCGTCCTCTCCCCCTCCCCCTCCCTCACACTCTCCCTCTTTCTCCTTCTTCTTATTCTCAATCTCCAACGCCCCACCGGTGACCTAAGATGAGATTCCTGACCTCGTGCTGTCGGTCCTGCAGCGTCCTCTGCAGCGTGGTGACCTTGAGCATGTTGAGTCGCGCCTCGCTCTCTCGCTCCAGCAGAAGGCGCCGCAGCTCCCCGACCTCGCGCCTCGCCGTGGCCAGCTCCGCCCGTAGCTGCTGTTCGCCCAGCTGGCTCTCCATCTGCCCCAGCTGGTTGCTCCCGTCCGCCTCAGTCTGGGTCACGGGGAAAGGGAAGGTTTGGGGCACTGTGCTTTGTTTCGTCGATTTGGATGTAAATGCAATGTATATTTTCCTTACATAAACCCCTTTCTCTCCCTTTCCTGCTCCCACTTCCTCTTTTTTGTTCCTCTTCTTCTCCCTCTCCTCCCTCTCCCTCCTTCCTTTGGATGATAATGTAATGTATATTTTCCTTACATAGATAATTTCTATGTTGTCTTTGCTGCAGATCTGTCCACTCTCATGTTTTTAACTAGTCTCTTTCTCTTTTCCTCTTCCTCTCCTTCTTATTCCCCTACCTTCCCCCTCTCTCTCCCCATCCCTTACCCCTTCTCCCTCTCCCTTTCCTACCCCCTCTTCCTCTTTTTTGTTCTTCTTCTCCTTCTCCTCCCTCTCCCTCCTTCCTCTTCACCCCCAAAAAGTGTCTTTCCGAATTACCGCTTCTTTCAACTCCTTCTTCGTCGCTTCCAGCTGCTCCTTCAGCATCGCGACCTCCTCCTTCAGAAGGCTCTCCTCCTTCTCCTGCTCTGGGTCCTTCGTCAGAACGGGGGTGCTTCTCGAGATCTCCAGCTCCTTCTTGAGGCTTGACTGTTCCTCCTCCAGCCTGATCTTCTGCTTGGTCATGCCCTCGATCTGAAGGAGGAGAAGAAAAAGGTGAAAAGCGTCTGAAAGGAAGGCCACAGGGAAGGATGGAAGGAGGATGCTGGGGAGAAAATGTGGAGGTAATAGATGCAATATTATGTATGTAGTGCGAGAGGAAATAGCTTACGCAAGAGTAAATCAAAGGAAAGTTATGACCTGTCCCTTTTTTCCCATCTGTACTCACATGGGGAATTTCCTGTAATATATCTCTATCGACGGACTTCAATTATCGAATTAGGAGAAAAAGGTCTAAGCAATACGTTTTTTATTATTGTTATTATCTTTTTTTTTTCTTTCTTTCTTTTTTACCTTTTCCTCGAGGCGGTTGCACTCCCGGATGAGGCTGAGCACCTGTTCGTGCGCCAGGCTCTTCTCCTCCTCCGCCGCCCTCGCCTCCGCCCTCGCCGCACTCAGGGCCGCCCGGAGGTTGTCCATCTGCAGATCACACATCTATTAATTTCACATGAAGAAGAACGAAGAGCGTTTTCTTTCTTTCATTCTCTCTATCTATATTTCTTTCTTTCTTTCTTTTTTCTCCGCCTTGAAGCCAACCCGAGGCCCTTTACCTGGTGGAGGGTGGAGGCCAGTTGGTCCCTGGCGGCCAAGGGGTCCGTGGCCAGGCCCTGACGCTCCTCCAGGTCCTCGCACTGCCTCTGCCACGTCAGGGTCTCCTCCTTTACGCTCTCGAGGCGCGCCTGGCGGTCAGAACGAAGCTCTTTAGCACCTGCATCTAGCGGCGAAGGCTTTCATAAACGAGGTCTAAAATGTATACGAGTCGAGGCTCCCTAAAATAATAAAAGGAACCAAAAAGACTGAAACGAAAAGCTCCGCGAACTGACCCTGAGCAGCGCCGTCTCCTGCGTGAGGCGAGCCACCTGCGCGTGGTGCTCCTGGCCCTCCGACTCCCTCCTGGCGATCTCGTGCTGCAGGGACCGCGCCAGGCCGTCCCGCTCCCTCTCGCTCTCCCGCAGCTGCACCTCGCACTGCCCCAGGCGTCCTCCCACCTCCGCCAGCGCCTCCTCCAGACTCTCCACCTGCAGGGTGCACGCGCAACGCAGGAACGAGGAGAGATGTGTATTGAGACGAACGTTGCATATTAAGTTTTTTTATGTAGATCCTTCTATGTTGGTAGCAGTTTTCCTAAATCACATTTCATTTCATATTTCATGATCTTCAAAGGACATTAATTGGAATAACAACCTTATATTAAGGATTCATATTCCTTCACTCCTATTCGTAATTCTTACCACGTATGTTTTTAACTGTGTGTATGTATGTATACCCCTTTGACTATTATGTATGTATGTATACCCCTTTAACTATGTATATATGTATGTATGTATACCCCTTTAACTATGCATATATGTATGTATGTATACCCCTTTAACTATATATGTATGTATGTATACTCTCACAACCCACCTGCAGTTCATCATGAGCCTGCACGCGCGTGTAGGTGAGCAGCGTGTCCTCGAGGCGCCTCACGCTGTCCTCGTGCGCTGACGTCAGACGCTCCGCCAACGCCGCCACCTCCTTCTCGCGCTCCTCCTCCTGCAAGGGCGTGGGGGGGGGGAGTCTTGTGAGTGTGAGTTAATGACGGCAGGTTTAGGCATGGTCTAAAGAAATATTTAAATAGACCTAAATTTTATACGGCTCGTTTTGAAAGGAATATGAAGAACTTTGGTTGTGTTTATTTCCCTACTGGTTGCAATTGATGTATATAATGCACACACAAACACACGCACCCATACATACCGTCTGCCTCGCGTGGCGTTCCAAGGTAGAGATCTTCTCCCTGGCGTCTTGGAGTTCCTTCTTGCTGCTCGACGCCTGCTCCTCCGCCCTGGCAACCTCCCTCCTGGCCTGTGGGGACGAAGCGCTATGTAGGCGGAGGAGGGATTGAAGTGCTCAAAGACTTTCGACAGGATGCGAGTGAGTAATTATGTACATCATCATCACTAGTAGCTAACGCCGACGGGGGCGCATATCCACCCTTTGTTTCCTTTTTGGGGTCCCTCATAGCAAGCCGCCAGGCAGAGACTCGGCCCATCTCGAGATCTTCACGACAGGTTTGATCGATCTGCACAAGTCCCACAGGCCTCCTCCACCCAGGGCTGTCTCGAACAGAGACAACCTGATGGGCAGAATCATCCTGAGCAAGGCAAGCCAGGTGGCCATATAGCCTGAGTTGGCGATCACGGATTGTGCATGTACCAGGTCCTGTGCCAGTCTCATGGTGCAACCGTTGGTTGGACACGTGGTCCCACCAACAGTACCCCATGATCCAGCACAAGGACCTATTAAAAAAGCCGCCCACTCAGGAAGTCACCGAGTTCAGCTTTCTCAGGCCCTGGTATGCAGGACGAAGTCATTTAATAGAAACTCGACCTCGGTTTCCCTTCTTAACATAGACCGAGTTCTGCGTACCAGAGAGTGGCGCAAATCCCGATCCTCTGTCAGACGAGCCGCACGGCAAGCATCTGTGGCTTCCAGTGTCTCCTGTGAGATAAAATTCTGTCTTGCCCTCGGGCGTTCACCAATCGGTTCTCGGGTTGCATCAAGCGTTTCGTGCTTGAAGGTGTCCCACAGAAGTACAGGGTCCGTCAGATTGCTGTGAAACGACCAGAGATTGCCTCAAGCAAACCCCCAAGCACACACACCCTCCCTCAGCCTGTCCAAATGAAACACTCGGGTGATCGTTGGACCGCTGGGGAGTTTTGAAGTGTACCCGGAGGGTAGCCACAACCAATCTACGGTCAGTACCACAGAACTCAGCACTCCTATGCACCCTGCAGTTCTGGAGGGTCCTCCATCGAGTGCTATCGAGTATGTGGTCGAACTCCTTGGCTGCATTACCCGCATCGCTGTACCATGTCCAACGATGTGGGTCAGCGCTGGAACCAGGAGCCAGAAATCATCAATTTCTGGGACCTAGCAAAGTCCCGGAAAAGGAGGCTATTCTCGCTGCGGGTATCAGCTCCCGAATTATGTATAGACTATATATTTACATCTATCTATCTGTCTGTCTATATATATCTACCTACATGTATATAAAGAGAGAAAGAAAGAGAAGGGGATGGGGGAGGGAGGGAGAGAGACAGAAATAGAGACTGAGACAGACAGAGGCAGAGAGAAACTGAGAGACGAAGACAGACAGAGACAGATATACACAAGGACGCATCCCAATTACCGCGGTCAGCTGTGCGCGAGTCTCCTGCAGAAGCTGATTTTCCCCGGACTTCTTCTCGAGCAGCTCCTCCATCGACGCCAGCTGGCTCCTCGCGCCGTCCAGCTGGGTCTGCAACGACGCCATCTGAAAGGACACGAAAGTGAATAAGCATCGTCGGAACCTCGGTGATCGGGGACATCAAAGCCACCCTCACCCAACACACTCGCGTGACTTTAACAGCTAAACTAACGGGGGAAACACTCTCACCCAACAGACACGTGCCTTAAAATGAGCTAAACTTCCAGTGAACTGACCTGCCTCTCCTTCTGGTGCAGCTCCCGGTTCAGCCTCCTGATTTCCTGCTGGTGATCGGCCACCTTCACGTCAAGGGCCCCTGCCTCCTTCACCAGCCCTTCCACCTGTAATAAGAATAGCCACTGTAGGAGAATGACAGCGAGGACAGCTGCGAGGGTGGGTATTTAAGAAAAAAATGTGTGTATATTGAAGTGGGTACTTCAAGAAGCAAAAATCTGCTCTTTTATTTGATTAAAAAATAGGAACCTTCACGAAATGTTCAAGTTGTGAGGGAATTCAAGATCTTATATCACTCTTTTTATTTCCGTCTATTAACCTTCCCGGCCACAAAAGTAAACAAATAAATATATATGGTAATAATACTAATGATAATAATCGTTAGTAATAATATTAAATAAAGAAATGAATGAAATATATGAAATAAAAAAAAGTTTAATCCTAAACAATACAACACGCCCTCAAACCTGGTCATGTAAAGACGCGTTCAGCTGTTTCTCGTAGGTGAGGGTCTCGTTCAGCTGCTCCACCTCCTGGCGACTCCTTCTGACCTGCTCCGCCCTCGCAGCTGCCTCCTGACGGGCGCTGGTGAGGGCCGCCACCGTGTCCTCCAGCTGGCGGCCTAGTCTCTCAACGCTGCCGCTTGTCTGAGGGAGAGGAAGAGGCCTAGGGACGATGTTCGGATGGAATGTCTGTCAGTCAGCCTGCCTGTCTGTTTGTCTGTGTGTTTTTTATGACTCTGTCTAATTATCTCTGTCTACCCGCCTGTTTATCTATCTTGGTATCTGTCTGACTTTGTCTCTGTCTCTATCTCCTTCTCCATCTCCCTACCCCTTATCCCTTCCTCACCCTCTCCCTCTTTCTCTCATCCCTTCCCTTCCCCTTCCCTCTCTCCCTATCCCTCTCTCTGCCCCTATCCCCCTCCCTCTCTCTCCCTCTCTCTGCCCCTATCCCCCTCCCTCTCTCTCCCTCTCTCTCTGCCCTATCCCCCTCCCTCTCTCTCCCTCTCTCTGCCCCTATCCCCCTCCCTCTCTCTCCCTCTCTCCCTCCCCTCCCTCTCTCCCTCTCTCACCCTCTCTCTGCCCCTACTCCTCTCCCTCTCCCTCTCCCTCTCTCCTTCACCCCCTCCCTTCTCCCCCTCCCCTTCTCACCTCTCCCTCTCTCCTTTGCCTCCTCCCTCTTTTTCCCTCTCCTTCCCTATCCCCCTCCGTCTCTCCATCTCTCCCTTACCTCCTGCGCCGCCAGCCGATCGTGAAGAGCGAGGTTGTCCCGCTGGGTTTCCGACGCTCGCCGCTCGGCCTCCGTCCGGCTCTCCGTCGCGACCGTGACCTCCTCCTCCAACGTCTGCACCTGCCAGGTCAAAGGTCACGAGGAGATAGAGGACCTCTTGGCTTTATCTGAGTTCCTGTGTTTGTGTTTTACCTCGTGTGATGTCAACTAACCCGGAATAGCCATCTTCAGTGTTTTTTTAATAACCAATGCAGATGAATGCTAGCAGTTCTTTCACTGTTTTTTTTTTTCACCTGATTTTTCCTATAAGTCCTTATGACCATATCTGACCTACCTGACCCTGAAGCAACTGTAGAGAACTAAGGAGTTCCTGGCGACGTCTATCGCCTTCCTGAAGCTGGCGCTGAAGCTGATCACGCTCTCCCTTCACGCGCTCGCACTGGCAAAGGGGGACTAATGTACACTACTGCGTTCAAATAGAACAGCATAGTCAACTGTGGGAAATCAAGAAGGAGAGAGAGAGACAGAGAGAGAATTTGTTTCGTACTTTTTAAAGGAATACTTATTGCTATTACTTTTGTTGTGTCGAAGGAAGGGTAAAATCTATATAAACTAAGGAAAAGAAACACGAAGGCAAATTTAAAAAGTGGTTGAATAATATGCCAAAGGAAAAAGCAGGTGGGAATGCCCCAAAGTACAGATGAAGACAACAGAAACAAGAACAAAAACAAAATCGTAAATAAACAGTGAAGCAAGAGATAAAGATACCAACAGAATTTACGCAACAGGAATCCAAGAAGAGAGAAATCTTTCAGACGATCCCTCACCTCTTTCTGTGCCTGGTTGAGGTCCTTCGATCCTTCCTCGGCTCTCCCTCGCCACAGGTCAACATCCTCCAGCAGCGACGTCACTCGGCGACTGAGGACTCGGTTTTCCTCCTGCAGGACCTCTGCTCGGGCACCTGCCTCGACCAGCTGAAGGGAGGGAAGGTTGGGATTGTGCGGGTATAACCATATGTAAGTAAACATACACATACACACACACACACACACACACACACACACACACACACACACACACATATATATATATATATATATATATATATATGTATATATGTATATATGTATGTATGTATATATGTATGTGTGTGTGTGTGTGTGTGTGTGTGTGTGAGTGTGAGTGTGAGTGTGAGTGTGTGTGTGTGTGTGTGTGCATATATATATATATATATATATATATATATATATATTATATATATATATATATATATATATGTATATGTATATATGTATATATATATGTGTGTGTGTGCGTGTGTGTGTGTGTGTGCACATTTACACATATATAAATAAGAATGTTAGTATTTATGCGTGCGCGTGTATGTCTGTGCGTGTGTGTGCTTGCGTATATCCATTTGATCCAGTTTATTCACATACTTCCAAGCCATATCTTGAGCACGGGCCGCGGCCGCGCCGACTGACCTGCGTGA